TGGTGGGAATCACCCTCCCGCCGTCTGGAAAAAGTGGGCACATCTCATACTGTGGGTTGGGCATGGGCATTTGGGAGCTTCTGCCTTCTGTACTGGGGGCGTTTGTCACGGTCATCAGGAGGCCTCTGGATGTCAGGGTGTGGGTTTGGTTACGAGGGATTAGGCTGCCAGATGTCCATGGCCCCCAGGTTGGGCACCATCACACCAAGAAATGCAAGAGCCAAGTGAGCAACAGAGACCATGCGGGAGGCCAGGCCGCCACTTCCCAGCTGGATGACCTTGGACAGGTCACCCCACCGCTGGGGTGTAGTTTCCTTAGGTGCCGAATGGGGCTAACAGGGGCCTCCCCTTACGTGGCTGTGGGGCCAGTGGACGGCGGCCCTGCGTGAGTGCGGCTGCCGCGGGCTAGCCCAGGCACGTCGCAGAGAGGAGCCTGACACAGTCAGCCCTTCTAAGTGTCTGCAATCATGCCCTTGCTGTGCTCTGCAGGCGGATGAAAAAGTCATCACGCTTCGGGGATGAGTAAGTAGGGGCCGCTTACAGCCTGAATGCCTATCCCTGTCCATTAAAAGACAGTTTTTCCTTCTTGGTGACAGTGGGGCTTAATAGGGACTCAGGTTGTGGGGTTCCTCAAGTATAGTCCAAACAACAATGACCACCAATGTAGAGACAGTTCGAGGCCCCCCTCCCCACTGGCTCCCCCTGGAGGGGATCAGCCCTCTGAGTGCAGGCCCCACCTCCACTGGAGACCTCCTGGCTCCTTTTCCTCAGCTGCACCTGCTCATCCTTGAGAGCCGTGAGAATTCAGTGACTTAGGACAGGAAGGCGCTTCGGCGGAGCACAGCTCACACTATGTGCCAGCTGATGGTGGTCACGGTCTCACGCCTGCGTCGATGAATGACGCTTGTGATGTGCCGTGGAAACGGCAGTGGTGCCGTTAGGCTGTACCACCCGGCCTGGGTGTGACATAGGCCCCACCTGGGTTTGTCTAATCACACTCTGATGTTCACGCAAGGACGAGATTGCCTAATAACGAATGTTTCAGAACCTAGCCCGTCGTTAAGTGGCAGGTGACCGTGCTGTTAGGCATCACCCAGCCTCCTTGAGCACCAGCCTGAACTGTGAGGTGCCTGGAGAACCCTGTGGTGCCAGGCCTGGATACTTCCAGGCGAGTCCCAGGGAAGGGCAGGAGTGGCAGGGAGGTCCTGACCGGTACAGAGCAGCCAATGATTAAAATAGATAACGGGGCCCTCCCCGATGGCGCAAGGGTTAGGACACAGCACTGCAAGCTGGCCGCAGCCGCTTCAGTGCAAGTTGATCCCCGTCCCGGAGGTGACCACATGGCGCGGCAGACCTCTCCTGACCCGCCCGCTGCTCCCCTCAGAAGGTACTTCGTCAATCGGCCTGTTCTGCTCCCCGCTCTGTCTCTGGTGAAACCTCTCACCACCCCTGCACCTCTGGCCTGTACCCCAGCTCTATATGCATAAATAAATTAAAAAATAAATAAATAATGGGACCCTTCCTGGTGGCACAAGGGGTTAAGTCTCAGCACTGTGACGCTCTCTGCAGCCACTGCAGCACAAGTTGGATCCCCAGCCAGGGAGGTGACCCCCAGGGCACAGCAGCCCTCTCCTGTCTCCTCCACTGCTCCCCTCAGCACTGTCCTTTGTCCATCTGCCTGTTCTGCTCCCCACTGTGTCTCTGGTGAATCCTCTCACCCCCACATCTCCTGCCTGCATCCCAGTTCTTATATGCATAAATAAATAAATCCCAAAAATAAAAACATAGATACCAGGTCTTCACACGTTAAGCCGTAAAGCCATCCTAGCCCTGCCAACCACAGGGAAGCGCACTTACTCCTGCTCACCTCTCAGAGCCCATTCTCAAGGCAGCCCCCTGGGGGAGGGAGGCGCTGGAGAACTGGCCCAGCCCCTCATAGGTTCCCCCTCCCTCCAGGGCGAGGAGGTCCTCCGGCAGCTGCAGACCCTGGCGCCTCGAGGGGTGAAGGTCCGCATAGCCGTGAGCAAGCCCAGTGGGCCGCAGCCGCAGGCCGACCTGCAGGCCCTGCTGCAGAGCGGTGAGCTGGGCATAGGTGGGGGTGCGCTGGGCCGGGGACCCCCAAGTCAGCCCCTGACCACCCCACTCCTGTCGGTCACAGGTGCCCAGGTCCGCATGGTGGACATGCAGAAGCTGACCCATGGCGTCCTGCACACCAAGTTCTGGGTGGTGGACCAGACCCACTTCTACATCGGCAGTGCCAACATGGACTGGCGCTCCCTGGCCCAGGTCGGCCTGCGCCTTGCCCGCCGCCCGCCAGCCCCTCCCTGCCCTGCAAGGCGTGACCGGCCTCCAGCTGCACCCCCAGAGTCCTCTCGGGCCTCCGTGCCGTCCCTTCCTTCCCACCTCCCACCGGCGCGCCCTGAACACCCCCGTCCAGTCCCTCACCACTCTCTGCTCTGGAAGCCCCGGATGCCCTCTGGCCCCATGGCGGCTGGCAGCCCTACGCGGGGCACTCGAGGCCCCTTCCTCCCACCTGTCCTTCCTTATTCCCGCCTTGAGAGTGGTCTGCACCCAGCCTGCTCTGTGTGATGTTGGGAGCATGCTGGGAACAGCAGATGGACCTCTTGGCACTCCTGGCCCAGTGCAGAGGCAGGCCTGTGGCCCAGGTGGTCCAGGCAGAAGGGTCAGGCCAGAAGGGGGGACCCAATCTGGGGTTCTCGTTATTTAAATAACTCATGAGTTCATAACTAATGCATTACCTGGAGGAACTGCAGAATTAGTACAAGACAGCAAGGAGGGTATAGTTCAGGCAATAATCATTTGTTCAACACATTATCTCCCAAGGCTCCAATTTCACCCACTGTTCAGGGAGATGTTGAATTACAGCTGTGATGAGCCATCCCTGGTGTACAGCGGGGGGTTAGGTTTGTCACCAGAATGATTGATGAGGGGAGCCTGGGGACTGACAGAGCCCAGGAGAATGCCTGATGCAGTCTGGGCAGTCAAGGGAGACTTCCTGGAGGAGGAAACTCAGCTGGCACCTAAGAACAAGTAGGATCTCACTAGGGAGAGAGGAGCAAAAGCCTATACGGTGGTTCAGGAAACATCGAGCTTTGGAATAACAGAAAGATTTTCACCTAAACTTGAGTTATTAGCTACGATGGGTGGTATGGGAGACTGAGAAGCATAAACGGGGTGGGGGCAGATCGAAGGGCAGGAAGGGGAGCCAGGGAACAGGAAGGGGGGGGCGTGGAGAGCAGCAAGGTGTGGCTGCAAGTGTCCCCTCATCTGTGAGCACCGGCTACGCCCCAGGCTCAGCGTTGCCTCCCACAGGTCAAGGAGCTGGGCGTGGTCATGTACAACTGCAGCTGTCTGGCTCGAGATCTGACCAAGATCTTCGAGGCCTACTGGTTCCTGGGCCAGGCAGGCAGCTCCATCCCGACAACCTGGCCACGGCCCTACGACACGCGCTATAATCAGGAGACCCCCATGGAGATCTGCCTCAATGGAACCCCTGCGCTGGCCTACCTGGCGGTGAGCTGGGGCGGGAGGTGCCCGTCCGCCCTGGTCCGTGTCCAGGCTCCCATTCACAGCCTCCAGGCCCAGCAATCCCAGGGGTGTGGGGGTGCAGGGATTCCCCACCACTAGCCCTCACACCTGCTGGCCGGCTTGGTCAGTGTCCTGGCTGTGTCCCAGCCCCTCTAGGCCTGTTTCCTTAGGAAAATGGGCATCGCCATATTGGCCCCTCTTGGGGCTCGTGGGGAGAGGTGCCTTGGGGGTACTTTTGCTGCAGTACAACCACCTATGCCTTTTCCTGGTTAAATCAGTTAAAATTAAATATAGTCCCCCAAAGCTCAAGATGGGGTTAGGCAGATTTAGGATAGGGGAGGGAGAGAATCCACCAGCCTGGAAGGGGGATGTGGAGGCTAAGGGCAGTAAACTTTAGCAGGAAAAAAAAAAAAGCAATAATGAAAGCTTTAGTTCTTCATGTCCCGCGAGCCCCGCCTCAAGTGCTTGGCGGCCATACTACCAAGTGCTGCTGAGAATATAGCGCTTTTGCATCCCTGGAACATTCTACTGAACAGCACCCCCGACAGGCACTGAGCTCTCGATGAGGCTGTGGCCGTTTTCACTTGTTGGGGTGGGCAGCCGGGGGCCCTGGCAGCCCCCGCCCAGCCCAGGACTGTTGGGGGCGGATGCAGGGACACAGCACTCTCTGGGGTTGTGTGCTCCCAGGGGGTCAGGGCTCCCCTTTCTTCTGCAGTGAGGGTGGAGAGCTGGGTGAGGGGCTGTGTGGCACGGGCATGGCAGGAATGGGTGGGGGGCAGGCTGGGGGCTCCAGGGGCCCGAGCAGGGACCTCAAACCAGAGCTCATCAGTCACCGGAGGGCTTGTTCACACCCAGGCTCCCACCCCGGTTCACCGTGAGGCCCAAGGAGTTACAGTTCTAAGAGCTCCGTGGCAAGGCGGTTGCTGCTCAAACAGGGACCTTTTGGGTAACAGCATAAATTCTGGAACCAGACAGCCAAGGTTCAAATCCCAGCTCCGCTCATCAGCCGTGTGACCTCGGCATGTCACTTGCCCTCTCTGAGCCTTAGTTTTCTCGCCTGCAAAATGGACACGGTCACCACTCCTCCCTCTCGAGGGCCGCGGCATCGCTGAGACCTGCTCGTGCGCTGTCCGTAGGCCGGTCCACTGTGACGGTGCCCTAGCAGGCGTGTGTCCTAACTCCCCTCCCCCCCACAGAGTGCACCCCCACCACTGTGTCCAAGTGGCCGCACCCCAGACCTGAAGGCCCTGCTCAACGTGGTGGACAACGCCCGGAGTTTCATCTACATCGCCGTCATGAACTACCTGCCCACCATGGAGTTCTCCCACCCGCACCGGTACGGCTGGGGACAGGGCTGGGTGGGGAGAAAGGAGAGGTAACAGCTGGGGGTGACGGCAAGGAGCTGGGGAGGGGAAGCCACAGGAGAGGCAGAGGAGACCGGAGGGGGGTGTGGGCAAAAGATGGGGCTAAGAATATTCAGGTTTGGGGCAGCAGGTGTGGGGTTTGTGACTGTGGCAGGAAGGGAAAATGAGTGGGCTTTTGGGGAGTCAGAGAAAGTAGTGTGGGCCGTAGACAAGACAGTCAGAGACTGGGTTTGTGGGTGGGAATGGAAGCCAGAAACAAGAGGCAGGGATATGGGATTGAAGGAGGCAGGACTGGGGCACATGGGGTGGGGTTTGGGGCCCTAAAAGCTGAGGCAGGTAGTCATGACGGCGATGTAGATGAAACTCCGGGCGATGTCCACCGCGTCGAGCAGGGCCTTCAGGTCTGGGGACAGCCACCGCCTGAGCCCGGTACCCCCACCCCAAGGTTCTGGCCCGCCATTGACGACGGGCTGCGACGGGCTGCCTACGAGCGGGGTGTCAAGGTCCGCCTGCTGGTCAGCTGCTGGGGACACTCGGAGCCATCCATGCGGGCCTTCCTGCTCTCCCTGGCGGCCCTGCATGACAACCACACCCACACCGACATCCAGGTGGTAAGCACAGGCCCTCCCGGCGCACAGCCCCTTCCAGCCCCATCGGCAGGGACAGCCCAGGGAGGACGTGACGTGAGGGGTCCCGAGGGTCGGAGGCTGGGGGGACATGCGGAGGGCCACGCTCCGGATGGGGAGGCACAGAGGAAGACTGGAAGAGCGGAGGTCTAATGTGAGACACAGGATATGTGGGAGCCGTTCTAGAAGGAGCCGTGTAGCAAGCCGGGGGACGGGACGCCCCCTTCAGCCAGCATTACCAAGTCCTCACTGTGCTGCTCCCTAGTCTAGCTCTGAGGGTTCCATAAGAAGCTGCCAAGTCCCCACCCCCAGCCAAGACCGCCACCCCGCTTCTCACTCTCCCCCCACCCTCCCCTGCCCCTCAGAAACTCTTTGTGGTGCCTGCGGACGAGGCCCAGGCCCGGATCCCATACGCCCGCGTCAACCACAACAAGTACATGGTCACCGAACGTGCCACCTACATTGGTGAGTGCCCCGAGCATCCCTGGGGGTGCAAAGAGGGGAGCCCAGGTGCCACCGTGGGCCCTGACTCTGCCCCGCCGCCCGCAGGAACCTCCAACTGGTCTGGCAGCTACTTCACGGAGACGGCGGGCACCTCGCTGCTGGTGACACAGAACGGACGGGGTGGCCTGCGGAGCCAGCTGGAGGCCGTTTTCCTGAGGGACTGGGACTCCCCTTACAGCCACGACCTGGACGCCTCAGCCGACAGCGTGGGCAATGCCTGCCGCCTGCTCTGAGGCCCAGTCCAGTGGACAGCCCATGGCCTGCGAGGCCCCCGCCGCCCCAGGTGTCCTGGGTACCGGTCCCTGCCCTGTGCCCCCGCTTCCGTCTGCCCCGTGTGGTTCTCCAGGCTCACCCCTGCTCGCCCACCTCTACCTCCGCCCTAGGACCCAGCCGAGCTGGGGGAGGGATCAGCCCCCGAAGGCGTGGGGGTGCATGCTGGGCCTGACCCCTGGCCCAACCCCCTCTCCAGCGCAAAGAGGGCCCGAGAGGATAAGTAAATAACTTGTCTGTACAGCCTGAGCCTGGCTGAGTGGCGTGAGGCGTGGGCCTCTGGGGGGACACTACATGGCTGCATGTGCTGAGCCCTGGCCACGGGCCGCGTGGCCACGTCTGTCCCGAGCCCTCAGCACGTGACCGCGTGTGCCGAGCCCTGAGCACAGCCAGCAAGGGTGTCGCACAGCGCCACGGGCCTGCATGCGCCGTCCGTCGGCATGAGCTGAGCTCTCGTGGCCTGTGTGTTTTTACCCAACGAGCACACGCTGGACCCCGGCCACCTCCCAAGGGTGGGGGCTCACGGGCTGGGACGTTGGCTCCTGCCCCAAGAAGCGTGAGCATCCCCCTGCCAAGGGGATTTGCACACAGCGCGGCCCAGGCGTGGATGAGGGCGTGCCGAGTCCGTAAGCTGGCGCGTTCAGGCCGCCGGACGCCGAGACCTTGACATTTGGCGAGCTGGCACCTGCGAGGCTGAGAGTGTTCTGGGGGTGGATTCTCGGAGCCAAGGGCCAAGCACTTGGGGGGGACGGGCCGTGCGCCAAGCACAGCCTTTCCCTCGAAGTACCAGGCAGCCCAGCCCCCGCCTGGGCCAGTGGCTGACGGACACGGCGTGTCCCAGCAGGGCCTGGGTGCCAGCGTGAACCCCCGTCCCCCAGCTGCTGTCTAGAGCTCAGGCAGGGATGGCAGGTGTGAGCGGGACTGAACAGTTCTTTATTGAAACAGCAGAGGCAGTGGGGCCGAGGGTGTGCTCAGGGCCAGCAGGGTGTAGCCCCTCCTGCGCCCCTCTGGTTGAGGGGGCCACGGGCCTGACTCCCACGGCCCTCCTGTGGCTGGGGTATGTGTGCAGGCAGGCGCTACGGGTCAAGAGGGTAACGGGGAATTCTGGATAACTCTATTTCTGTAAGAATAATCTGTGGGTTCGGGCATGGCTCTGAGGGGATGCCAGCCCAGCTAGCTCAGCCCCCGTGACGGGGAGGGGTGGGGTCACCGTCAGTGGTGCCCACCGACATGCTGCAGAAAGCTGGTGGCTCGGGGCGGACCGTGCGCGTGGGTGTGGCGGGGCGGGAGGCCCTGAGCCCGTGGCCCCCTGACGCTCTCCAGGGTCCATTCTGGCTCACTCAGCCACTCCCCAGAACAGCTGCTGGGGTCGAAGAGCTCAGGGCCTGGCCTCTGGGGGAGGGAGGAAGCGGCCATCAGCCGAGAAGCGCCCCACCCAGGGCACCCCCAGCCTGCCCCTCCTGGGCTCCCCCTCAGGGCCCTCGTGGCTTGAGGGGGAGCTTAAGTGGTGTGTGCAGAGCACCTGCCATGTCCCGAGTGTCCACCTCTTCTGAGGGTGGGTGAGTGGGTGCCTGGGCGTGGGGACGCTGCCTGTGAGTGGACTGGCGCGTGCCAGGTTTTCCAGTCTGAAGGCAGGTTCGCGTGTGCTGAGCCTGGTCGAGTCTTTATATCCCGAACTCGGGTTGGTGTGGCAGAGCCTCGGCGCATCCCGAGGGCGGGCTAGTGGGTGTCGGGCCTGGGCGGGCTGCGGGCAAAGCCAGGGTCACGGAGCCCCCCCCACCGCAGCTCTGGGGGACCCCGATCCGGCTGGGCTCCGGCCCACCCACCGGCTTACCTCCGCCTCCATGGCCATGTCCTTGACGTCGGGCCCGTCCCCGTCCCGCTGCTGGATGGCGGGCGGCTCGGCCGAGGCCCCGCAGCGCTCCCCTTCGGCCCAGCCGCCCCGGCAGGGCCCGTCATCCTCGGGCGAGGCCTGGCTCAGCCGGATGAGATTGCTGAAGTTGGAGTCAGACTTGGAACCCGCAGGGGTCTTGCGGGCCTTGTGGCGGCCCGCCAGGCGGCTGCCGTAGAAGGCCAGGATGGGCTCGGGGCCGGCGTCCGGCGCTCGGCGGCCAGTGGCGGCCACCTTGAGCGGGGCTAGCACGTCGGGCACGCCATCGGCCCGGGTCTCGCCCCACAGCCCACGCCCCGCCTCCTGCAGACTGAGGTCGTCCATCTGGTCGATGGCCCTCTGCATGCCCGGCGCCTTCTCCTCACGGAAGAAGGACCCGCTGCCCACGCCCACGGCCTCCTCCTCCTCGGCCAGGCCGTAGTAGGGGGGCGCGTCCTCCACGGCGGCCGCCGCGGGCGCGGGGTTCCTGCCTTCCACCTGCAGCGAGAGGCGGCAGCCGCGCAGGGAGAGCTGGTAGTAGCGGGTGGCCTCGTGGCCGCTGCGCAGCTGCTGCATGGACACGAAGGGGTGGCGCAGGGCCGAGCTGGGGCTGATGCGCTCGTGGGACTCCCACGTCAGCATGCGCTTGATCAGCTCCACCATGCTCTTGAGGTCGGCGTGTTCGGCCAGCGCCTCGCGGTCCGGGAAGGTCAGCCGGCTGGCCGCCCCGCCGCCGTTCACCGTCTCGATCTGGTCCAGCGACTTGAGCATATATTTGCGGCGCTCCAGGGGGCGCACCTGGAGGGGCACCGCGGGCAGGCTGACCCCGAGTCCCAGGCCCTGCGGCGAGGGGCGCCCCAGTTCCCAGTCTGCCCTCCAGTCCTGTCCAGAGCTCTCCTGTGGCTGTGAAGTCCACACCCCTGAGCCCTGAGACTCCAGTTCTACCCCCGGTCTGAGCTGGTCCCCCACCGGCCCCTCAGACACCCCCCTGACTCCAGGCACCTCTTGCTGCTACAGCCCCAGACCTGACCCCGACCTGCACGTCGGTCTGCACACTCAGGCGTGCGCTGGCCAACGCTCACCACGAGCTGGGGGAGCCGCCGCCCACGCTCAGCCCCACCTCCGGGCTCCCCCAGCCTGCTGTCCCCCTGCTTGTCCAGTCAGGCTCTTGCAGCGCAGACACCTGGTCTCACCTGGGGTCCCATGCTGCACCCTCTTTCTGCCGCCACTCTCGCACCGACGTGGCCCTCCTTTTTTTCTCTGTGGTCTAACCCAGATCCCTCATGCCTTCCCCGGAGCCCAGGTCTAAAGCTGGCGGAGGAGGTGCGTCCATTTCCCGGGGCCCCTCTGCTGACAGCCCCTCCCTCTGACCCCCAACTTCTGGTCTCTGGAGTCTCAGCCTGCTCTGCCCTGCGGCTTCAGCTCCCCAGCCGACCTCCAGCTTCCAGCCCCACCTCGGGCCTCGCCCAGACTCTCGCTGCGAGGACCCCCACGGCGGGCCCACCAGCGTCCGGACCTCTGTGCCGCGTCACCTGGGTGCCGATGAGCTGGCGCAGCCCCGCCCGACTGCCCCCGACCCACCTGCCCCCCCTACCTTTGTCTCAGCCAGGTAGTCGGCCGAGGACTTGAGCTGCCAGGGGTTGGTGGCATCGGGGTGGGGGTTGCGTTTGAAGAAGTGGTGGGCCTTGCGGGCGGCGTGCAGCAGGTGGGGCTTGGGCAGGCCCTGGGTCTCACAGATGTAGCGCACCTGGTCGTACTCGTTGTTGCCCGGGTACAGGGGCCAGCCCAGGTGCAGCTCGGCCATGACGCAGCCCAGCGACCACACATCCACCTTCTCGCAGAAGGGCAACCCCAGCAGGATCTCGGGGGCCCGGTAGAAGCGCGACTGGATGTACGGCTCCTTCACGTAACGCACCTCACTGAAGATGCTGGCGGAGCCGAAGTCGATCACCTGTGGGCGGGGAGGCGTGTGGGCGGGGCAGCAGTGGGGCGCAGCTGGGGGTCTCCGCCTCTTTGTATTTCCATTGCCTCTTGCCTCTCCGTTGGGTATTTATCTGTTTCTCCCCATGGGAACTTTATGCCATGAGGGGAAGGAGCCTGCTCTTTCTCGCTCACTGCACAACTTGTCCATCAGCAACTCTTGCTGGCTTACCCTTTGCAGTCCGTCCACAGTCCCCAGCCTGGCCTGTGCACGGTCATCTTTCGCCTACACCAGTGCAGGGGCCTCCTCCCCACTCTACTCCAGGCGGGCGGAAAGGACCCTTTTCCCCCAAGTCTGTTCTTGCAGGTCCCAACCCCCAAGGTATCTTGTGAACACCTGGATCAGACCCCTTGAGTTCCACCCCTGCTCAGAATCCTGTGGCTTGACCACATCCTGTGATAAAAGTTGAATTCCTCAGGGCTCCCTGGCGGTGCAAGGCATTAAGTCTCAGCACTATGAAGCTATCGCCAGCCACTGCAGCACCAGTTTGATCCCCGGCCAGGGAGCTGACCCACAGGGCACAGCAGGCCTCTCCTGTCTCACCCGCTGCTCCCCTCAGCAGTGGACTTCAATCTGCCTGTTCTGCTCCCTGCTCTGTCTCTGATGAATCCTTTCACCCCCTGCACCTTTGATCTGCATCCCAACTCTTGTATGCATAAATTAAAAAAACTAAAGAAAAAGTTTATGGGGTGTCGCAACAGGTTAAAGTGCAGCACTAGAAAGCGATCGCAGCCACTGCAACACAGTTCGATCCTCAGCCCCGGAGGTGACCCACGTGCGTGGAAGACCTCGCCTGACCCGCCCACTGCTCCACAGCAGTGGATTTCAGCCGCTCCACCTGTTCTGCTCCCCGCTCTGTCTCTGGTGAATCCTCTCACTGCCCCATACCTCTGGCCTGAACCCCAGCTCTGTATGCATAAATAAATCTTTAAAAAAAGAAAAGTAAGGCCTCACCATGGAGCCCAAGGCACTCAAATCTGCCATCACTTCCTCCCACAATACCCTTCACTCATGCTCTTCTCCAGCCACTTGGGCCTCTCACTCTTTTTTTTTTTTTTAATTTATTTTATTTATTTATGCACACAAGAACTGCAGTCTAGGCCAAAGTATGGGAGGTGAGAGGCAGAGCAGGGAGCAGAACAGGTGGGTTGACTGAAATCCACTGCTGAGGGGGTAGCGGGGAGACAGGAGAGGCCTGCTGCGCCCTGTGGGTCACTCCCTGGCTGGGGATCGAACTCGTGCTGCAGTGGCTGCGGACAGCCCCACAGTGCTGAGACGCCACCCCTGCGCCACCAGGGTGGGCCTCGCTCTTCTTCCTCACAAGCCGGGTGCATGGCCGCCGCGGGGCCTTTGTGTGGACGGGTCCTGCCTCGCCACGCTCTTCCCTCGGGTGTCCCCCTCCACTTCTCGCTCCCTCTGGCCTGCACTCGGGGCCTTCCTGACCAACATGTCTGAAGTTTCGCTCATTGCCATTCCTCCTGCCCCAGTCGACAGCCCTGCCGCCCTCCTTTCCGCCTTCTCACTCGCAGAACCGTTTCTCCTGGGTACTGTGTCCCCCACGGGAGCGTCAACCCCACTGAGCCAGGGCCGGGTCAGAGGAGCCGCCCTAGGAAGTGAACGACGACGGGGAGCCCTGGGGTCTGGTAGGGAGACTGTCAGCACTGGGGTGGGGCGGAGGGGAGAGGCATCACGGGAGTGAGGGGTTAGCAGGCCGGTCCAGGGAGCCAGCAGCAGCCGGGGCCGGGGGGGGGGGGGGAGCGGCAGAAGGGGGGCAGACCCCGGGCCGGACACCCCGAGACACTTCCGGGGGAGGGAGGGCGCGGGGCCTCGCGGAGGAGGGGCGGGGCGCGGCCGGAGGTAGAGAGCTGGCAGGGCGGCGCACTTCAGTAAGGGGTTAAGTGGGAGCCGGGAAAG